TTATTGTAATATTAATGTTTATTATTATCTCTACTACTACTACTACTACTACTTCTACTTCTACTACTACACTACTTCGACCACATTACTACTACTACTACTACTACTATCATCATTAAGTATCCCAACTTTCATATTTACCGTGTGTTCAAAAGCGATGCCTATAAACCTTTGTTTCTCATGTTTGCAGCGAGTTGTTTCCCTACTTCTCTACTGTGAAGACTCTGCCGACTACCATATGGCGTGCAGTGTATACGACGAGGGATAGAGATTGGTTTCTGACAAATGATACTAGTCGTAAGTATCAGTGCTGCTCACAAACTCTTTTAGTATGTAGCTATTACTGTTGTGTTGGAAGATTATTCGTTGAAAATGGAGCATTTGTGGTTTTAAAGGGGATTGCTTGATTTTATTGTAACTTTAGTGTCGTATGGGTTTGTCTCTTCATTGTCATGATATCTGACTAAAATGATATGAAAGGTTGAGGGCTACGATTAATGTTAAAAACCATACTACAGTTGGAGATGATGTTACTACTTAAGGTATTATATGTCTCCTTTAGAAAGACCTAAGTAAGGGAGAGGCAACCCCATGTTTTTAATTTAACTTGTAATGTAGACAGTCGACCTTTTGTTATATATATATATATATATATATATATATATATATATATATATATATATATTCTTATCACAAAAAAATACATGCATATATACACATTTTAACATTTTCTTTCATCGCCAATCGAAAATAATGACGTGAGCAACGCCGTTCTACAGGTTATAATTTCTGGCATAAGGAAATGTGATCTCCATTCCACCGTTACCAGCTTAGACCGCATTTTCTGAACTATGAAGGCATGAGAGGTCTTAGTGTACGCAGGATTTTTTTCCAGTTCATTTTTTTTTCTCGGTCACAATATTCACCACAACTTTGACTTTGTTCAACTTCTCATAAAATACCGATCTTTGAGGTTATCATCTAAGAAAGAAAGATAAACATTAATATATATATATATATATATGTATATATATATCGAGCTTTCAAATATCCATCTATGACTATGTAAAGGTTATTATTTTTAATAGATATTCTCCCCAAAACGAAGGGGTTACCTGATAATAATGGGGTACCACTTGGGACTAGGCTTGTACTAAACTTCCGTAGATTATTACCGATTTCTTCGATCTCATTCGTGTGTAGCAGACGCCACACGTGTTTTCTTTGTTTATTTCAGTGAAAGAAAACAAAGGTTTTATCACATATTACTTTCACTACTTATTAATACGAGAAGTTCCCATTTCTAATACTCGGTAGTAAAGGAAGCAGTGAAGCATATACTCCCATTATCATGTTCTTCATTTTTAATTTCGATATGAACAGCTAAAAAGTAATCGTCTGACATTTGATTTTATGCGTAGCAGACGAAAGGCTGTAGACCTTCTGAAATGCCCCCCTCCCCCCCCCCCCCTCTCCCTTCCCGTTTAAAATAGGAGCCATTAATCTCAGTAACTGAACTGGATTCGCAAGATATGTAAACGGCTTGTATTTTCCTTTCCTTGCATCTCGACCATTATAACATCACTTATATACATGACAAATGGCCATATTTGGACGAATGTAAGTGTAACCTACTTCGTTGAATGAGTCTCCTTTCCCCATTGAACCTTCCTGTTATTCAGGTTATTGGACACTACTCGACAATGTATAGACGATGCGTGGTGCAATGTCAGGATAACACATGCTCTGTGAACTAGCCATATTGTGGCTTATCCTCAAAATGGGTTGGGTGGTAAACACCAGCTGCAATGTAAGGAAGATACGAAAGCACTTTTCGTCTGTAGGAGTCGATTTGTAACTATAGCGGACGAGAACAAACGGAAACGATTACATTCTGCCGTCTTTTCGCTTCCGTTTCTATAAATTACATTGGCGTTAGGGATGTATTGGATGTGATTTTATAATGCACCTTTACTAATTGTATTTTTCTTTTTTTTTCACTTTAAAATTTGGACAGTCGATGCACACACGCGCACGCACACGCACACGCACACGCACACGCACACGCACACGCACACACACACACACACACACACACGCGCACACACACGCGCACACACACGCGCACACGCACACGCACACGCGCACACACACACACACACACACACACACACACACACACACACACACACACACACACACACACACACACACACACACACACACACACACACGGGGATGGAGAAGAGAGAGTTGGAGAGAATGAGGGTGGAAGGAGAGGGGAACGAGGAGGAGGAGGACCCAAGGAAAGAGGAGGAACTATTTTTTTGTGAAATGGAACAAATATAGATATACCTCTTTGCTAAGTCAAAGAAGGTTCCTTCACCTGATGATCTTGAGTCATAATTTTATTGTCATAAGTTTACATAAATATTTGCATTGTTTTGATTCCAAAATATCCTGATGTAAATGAGTTTGATATGATGTGATTTTAGTAATCAGTGTTAAATCTTTGTCTTAATCTTTTAACTCTAATAACTAAAAATTATGATATAAAGAAATGTCATTTTATCTGCAAGTTTGGCTTTCGAAAACTGTTCATAAATTACATGCAATAAAGCAAGGCCTAAAATATATCCAAAATAACAGCAGCAATCTTCACTGATTCATAATCAGCCCTACTGTCATTAGAGAACCAAAAACAAACAAACAATTGAGATATGAAAATCTATTTATAATAAACAAATTTACACATATATATATATATATATATATATATATATATATATATATATATATAGATAGATAGATAGATAGATAGATAGATACTATAAACATCATAAAAGAAATAAAAGTAAACAGCCCAAAGAAATGAGAATCTGAACAAACCAAATCTTAAGCATAAATAAAATATCTTATAAGAGACAATCAACTACATCCATAATCAAGATCAAGAATAAGACTTGAAAATGACCCTACATGCAGATAGTGGAGACACAAAGAAGAAACAATAGAGCATTAATACTGCCATATTCAAGATTCAACTTCTGTACTAGGTATCTGAAAGCAAGTAAAAATCATTAACCCAAATTTAAATTGGTGAGGTTTTTCTCTTTCTATCTATTCGAAAATTGTACTTCCCTCTGCTCTCCCCCCATCTTTTCAAGACGTCTTAGCAATTCCCCCAGTATTTCATCTCTCTACCCCAAATTAACCTAGCTTTACTACCTCTCCCTGTCAAAGTCCTTTTCCAGTTTAAATCTAGATACTCCAATCTCTACCACTTCCTGGTGCCTACCCATCCCCTCCTTCTTTTCATTCTGACTGTCGCATCAGTCAATATAAAGTTCCACTCCATCTCCACTTACCACATCCTCTCCTACACCCACCTCTCCCTCTACTCCTCGGACATCTATTCCCTCTTCTCCTCCTCATTAGAAAACCTTTGTTTCTCAGACTTCTCCAGAAACTCTTGAAGACATCTAAAAGTTCATAAACATGACTCAAGATCAAGAGAATAATCCACTCCCTCATCTATCCTCAAATCCCTTTATTCGCTCTGCATTCAAAGTATCTGCCAATATCCATCCTCCTCCACCTCAAGTTCCCCCTCTTCCTCCCACTCACCCCAAAAACACCCTATCCTCTCCTCTTTGATGTGTATCACCATTCCCTCTTTCCCCATTATCCATACCAACCCTCCTTAGATGCAAACATGACTCCTTTCTGTCACAACAATGTCCTGAGGATCCCTCTCCTCCTGACATTTTTAAAAATTGTTCACCACTTTCCTCTGTTCCCTTATCTAACACATTGTATTATCATCTAACACATTGTATCCTGATCAATAACTCATTTCATAATTTTTATATTATATTCAACAAGAATGACCTAATTATTCTTCACTAATCAGCTGTTGTTGTTGTTGTTGTTGTTGTTTTTTTGTGTGTGTGTGTGTGCATGCGTGCGTGCGTGTGTGCGCACGCGCTTATTTTATTGAGCTGAAATTGATCATTTGAGGTGTTAACCTTTACAAATCAAATCTGGCTGACTTTTCTTATATTAGAGTAATGTTCTTTAAAGCTCAATCAATTATAAAGGACAAAGCCTATAAAATGACCTAGACCAGGCCTTGTTATGTTTACTGGTTCACAAACAGAAGATACACAAATATCATTGATGACATAGACTTAAATACCATCATGAAAAAGACTGCATTTAGCTCACAGTGTCTAGCAAAGGCTAACAAACCTCAGTACCATGTAATTGGGCAATATAATGGGCTGACTGTTTTTTGCAGTCCTGCAATACTGAGCAAGAATACTAAATACTTCCAGTTCCAGTCTTTCATTTCATACTATGTTTGCAGTTATTCCAGCTCCCAGTCATTAATATTGTTTTATGAGTAAAAATCAAATGTATTAGCAGCAGGTTTCATTTCCATTTAAAATAGAATATATATGGTAAGTACAATTCACATGTAATCTTATTGTAAGCATTATTCTTTTTTTTTCCATTTCTTATGAGGCAACTAACAAGTCATGTTGAATAATGATTACTTACACATTACAGCTGTAGTAACCTGACTGACTAAAGACTGGCTCCTCAACTTTACTTGTCTTGTCTTTTTTTTTTTACTGGTTCCTCATGCAGGAATAACTTTTCTGCATTTCGTTTAGATATTTAAGGAGTATACTTTTTATCCCCATACTTGAAATAAATGCAAACTCTGCAGTTTGGATTAGATTCTTTATCAGGTTCTCTAAATTATACATATATATATATATATATATATATATATATATATATATATATATATATATATATATATATATATATAATTTGGAGAGCCTGATAAAGAATCTAATACAAACTCCTGAATTATTTAATCTTTTATTCATGGAAAACTTGATGACTGCATTTATTATACTCTTAGTTTTCAATATCAAGGTTCAGTTTTAATGCATTAAAGCTCAATATACTTAATTGCTAACTGATACTTTATGTAAAAAAATATGCTAACATTTTTTAAAACTCAAACTTTGTTAAATGACAATTAATGAAATGCCATCATCAAGGGGAACCCCCAAAATAGACTTGGCAAAGAGTTATATTCACATTTATCCTTAAAAAAAAAAAAAAAGTAAAATAAATAAATGAATAAATAAAATAAAATCCTTATCTTTCCTTAACCCACTGCCAATGGGTATGGCATGTACATATATGCCATGCCCACTGTGATTTTACTTGTTTAATTTTTTTTTTACTCATAGATGGCTACATATGTACTAATTCAC